CGGAATTGGCACTCGTTTCGCTGGAACGGGATAGTACTGTATATCATTTTTGGGTTGATTTTTATCAAAAAAAAACATCTGTTTTAAATTGTTAATTCATTACAACAAAATTAATAAGAACTACTCTATATTCAAATAATTAATAAATCTTTTTTTTTAAGAAAAATGAATATATATATTAAGCGATATTAGCTAAAAAAAAGTCAGAAAGGTTGAGCCCTCCACCATTACAAGGAAGTTTAGCAAGTGAATGGGCTAAACAGTTACCCGAACATTTAATAAAACGAAAAGATAACAGAACTAAACAAAGATGTCGTCGAAAATCATTCTTCAACGAGAGCTCCATACAACCAAAGACTCATATACGAATTATCTAAAATTTTAATAAGTTGAAGGCAATCGCCTTCAAGAACAATATTACTCCAACCATGAGCTTTGCCGAACCAGAGAGCTGTAACTTGTAAGAGCAACAATCGCGGCCGAGTGATATTTATGCTTATTTTTAGGCTAGCACTATGTTTCGAAGTGGCATTTCGACGTAATATTGTTTTTAATTTTTAATTTTTTTTTCTTACCATCACCTTGAACTTTGGACCCAGACTCCAATTTGGCTCCAATTTTCACTACAAGGGATGATTCAAATTCAATATAACATTGAAATGAATTATTTTATATGAGATGAGTTTCATAACCCAATCTTGAGCCCTTTTTTGAAAAAGGGCACAACTCATATACCCACATGTCCAATGGATCACAAAGTCTTCCTCATATAACGGCCCAAAATCAGAATTCAATATAACAACTCATTGAACTAATCATCACTAAAGCGGCGCAGGTCGTTTTTATCGGCCAACTGATCCAATTTTGTAAACTTTTTTTAAGCACGGTGATCGATAATATACCAATCCATAAAGTTAGACCGATAGTTTTAACTAATGGGTTGATTGATGGGTTTTAACTTCTTCAAAAATTGGTTGACTGATAATTGGTGGCTAACTCGCACATGTAATCCAAAATTTGATTATAGATATTAAATTATAGTTAATTTAACAAAATTATGATAATATTATTTTACTAAAAAATTAAACCTTAAAGGCTAAACAATAATATATAAAAAAAAAAAAAGTCAAACCTCAAAAAAGGTCGTTATAGACCCCCAACGTGCTATTGCAAATATGATTTCAATTTTGAGTTTTTAAATGATCATATCCTTAAATATGAATTGTTTAATATTTATATCTTCAACACGTTCCTCTAGTGCAAGTGAGTAACATTTGAAACTTTGCATTTAAGTTTTAAGTATTTGAAATAAGTGGCAATGAGATTCAAACACGTAACTTTTCAAAGAAAATGTAAATTTCATTATATGTGAATATATTCGGAATAATTCGACTTTATCGCATATAAACTATCAAATATGAAGCTAGAAAAATTAAGACCGTTAGGTGACATTTTTTCAATATCCAATTTCGTTAAGCAACTAAAATAGACTACTATTCAACAAAATCAGTAATTACTAGGGGTGGAAGTCTGATGGATCTGATAAGAATTAGCATTTAAAAAAAAACATTGTCCCCAAAGTAATAGTTATAATATGAAATTTTTATCTTGAAAAAATGGTTTGTTTTTAAATTAATGATATTTAATTACATCGAATATCAATTTTTTAAACAATTTAATACGCCATCTATTCCTAAATAATTGTGTCTTTTCATCTTTGCACAAGTAGTAAGAAACTCAATAAATATGACTTGATTTTAGTAAAATTATATAAAAATGACTAAAATAACATTTATTAATGATTTATAAGAGAGATTGAATATTTAGCGTTGAATTAATAAGGTTAAAATAGGAAAATACACATTTAATACAATATTAGAAACATAAAGGGACAACTAATATAGAACAAAATATTTTACAAAAATAACAGTTATTGTGGAACAAAGAGAGTAGCATATATAATAAATAAATCACGTATCCTAGCTAATGACAAAATATTTAATTAATCATTATGTGATTAATAGTACAATACAGTTTAATTCATTCGAATCCGATTCATGTAATCAAAAAATGTCTAAATTAAAAAAAAAAAAAAACCGAAAAAATTAAATAAACTCTGACACGAAAAATATATTATATATATTTCAGAGAAATTGAGGAACCAATAACTATCCTCATTTAAAAAAAGAAAAAAAAAAATTAAAAGTTATGCTATATTTAAAAAAGTATTCGATATTCTGAAATTGACATGCACAAAAATACGTGTCGGGCTAATAATATTAAATCAAATATGGACCAATACTTTAAATAGTAGGATAGCAAGTCAGGCCATCCCCACTATCAAAGATTCCTAATTCCCCACCATTATTTACTTTTTCCAGATAAGCCACTGCTCCACGCAAAGCCTTGATACGACGTCGTAGGCTGTGCATGCACCATTTCTCCAACTATAAATAGCAGCTCTTCCGCAGCTTCAAAAAATATAGCAGCAACAAATTATATAATTCTTCCAAAAATATTTAATCAGTTTGCAAATTTCTTTCAGTTTTAATATCTGAAGATGTCGTCGGACAAGTGCGGTAGCTGCGACTGCTCCGACAAGAGCCAGTGCGGGTAAGTTTTTTTTTTTTTTTTTTTTTTCAATTTTTTTTTCATGCATGCTTTTGTGGCACAAAAATATTGGTGTTATTTTTGGAGAATATATAGAGATTTAACATTTTTTTTCTAAATTTATTGCTTCGTCGTTTTTTTTTTAAATTTAGTATCGTTTAAGGTTCGGGCTAAACGTATTGAGAAACCTATACACATAAAATACAACTAAAATATTGTTCCAGTGTGTGAGATGTTACATCTGGTGTATTTCACCTGGTGGTTTTGAACCATATAATATTTATATAAATAATTACCCACTGAACGAATAAATTGCAGGAAGAAGGGTTACACTGCTGACATCATTGAGACTCAGAAGAGGTATTTTTCATCTTCTAATCTCATTTATTTATTTATTATTTTTTAATTAACACGGAAAAAAAAACCCACCGGGACTTAATTTGGTTTCGCAGCTACAACGAGACCACCATAGTGATGGATGCACCTGCAGCAGAGCACGATGGGTGCAAGTGCGGCTCCAGCTGCTCGTGCACCACCTGCACCTGCGGCCACTGAAGCCTCACCGTACTAATACTATGGACGCACCCGTATGATTATAATAGTTGTGTCGAATAAGTTTGTAATGTTTCTCGTTTGGGTCGAAAACGTGTGATGAGTGTTGTGCCAAAATTTGTGATCCCTCTTAGGTTCACAACTATGTAATAGTTTGCATCTCACCACGTTTAATTAATCTTATGTTATAATTAATCGGTTTGATTTTATAGTGTCTTATTATATCTCGTTTCTTGTTAATTACCTTATTAGTTTCTGCTTATACAATATCAATCTATCTTCCACTGAATTAGGGGGTCTTTTTTGGGCAAAAAAAACCACCCTTGTGCATGTAATCTCTAATTGCTGAAAAAGCCTCTTGTGGTTAAAAAATTAGCACGGTTCCCCCTATGAAAGTTGGTCAAAGCCAATAAGGTCCCTAACTGCTTATAGTGTTTTGCACGCGCGGACTGTGCGGTTGGGGGTGCGTGTTCTGACATGAAAGACCTAAATACCCTTTAAATCAAAAAATTGAAATTATAGATTAACCCCAAAGTTTTCATTATACCAAAATGAAAGTTTCAGAATTTTCAATTCAATCCTTGACAATTTCCCAAATCAACTCCTTCCCGTTTAAACTCTCCACCATTTTCACGTAAAAACACACACAAAATCCTGCCCCATGGCGCCCTTTGCCGGAAATTGACCAAAAGTTACATTTTTCGGACACTTTTAAGACATTTTTTTTTTCGGCGGAATTTCTTCTCTGACAGATCACTCCCTTCTCTACATCAAACCAATCCAAAGGGAAAGGTCGGAACTTTGCAAGATATGAGCTTTAACATTTTTCCTGGAACCCCCAGAAATTTCACAACAAAAATTCCAACTGAAATTTTCAGAAATTTGCCCAGTCAACCTTTTTTTTTTTTTTGCAGCATAACAACCCCGATACACTCTTTTCTGCTCACGACATACTGCTCCTCTTCTTACGATATTCTGCTCAAAAGATGATTGATTGGGAAGACAAGGTTCCGGATGGGGTACGATATGAGATGGAAAATCTCGAACGGCACCATTGGAGTTTGATTGCTCCGGCGAGGGCATCGTTTTGTTTTCCGACGATTGAGTTGGCGTTTTACCGATCACAAACTTGCGAGATACATTTGGTGCGGTGAAAGAGATGGTTGGAAGAAGGTCTTTGGTTAATGAATTTAAATTTATTTATGTAAATTGAATACAAATTGGTGTTTTGAGTATATTTGTGTTTTATGTACTACGGGTATTATAGTCATTTTAGCTAAGTCGACAACCAAAGGGGCAGTTTGCTATACCAAACACGACATAAGGGGATCCTTACTAACTTTTATAACACATGGGGGTTTTCGGCAATTAGAAATAACACAGGGGGTTTAGTGCTATTAGCTCCTGAATTAAGTATGGGAAACTTGTCTTGTGAAGGATGACCTAGTGGTTGGAGCAAGTGAGCCTGTATCAATTGACCCATGTTCGAAATCCCTTGAAATAATTACCTTGGTCCTGCATCAATTCAAGCAAGCGACGACGACAAATTTTTATTAGCATTTGAAAAGTAATATTTTTCCTTAACCATGTGAATAACACGAGCTTCACTATTTGATTAAACCAGAACAAATTTACGAGCAGAACCCGCAGTATCGTAACTATATTCAGACCAACGGTGCGAAACTAAAACCGCGTCCGTTTATTACTAGTTTTGTAGTAAGACTAGCTTCGAATTATTGTAGCCCTCTGCACGAAGACATCTTTTATGAGCCTCGATCCATTTTTCACAAGAAGATTCACCGTGCTCCACAACACATTCGTCTCTCAGCTTTTTAGTGTCGGGGCAAGCGCAGCATATCTTCTTCTTGGGCTTCGAATCGGGCCCTGAAACTTTCTGTAGTTGCAGCGATATTGTAGAAGAAGAAGAAGAAGTTTGTATCGGCAATCCACCCATTGTCACTGCTCTCACAAGAATATTTCATATTAGCGAACAAATTTTATCAAGTGAATATACGAGGCTCTTATAACAACATCTACCTTAAAAACAAGTTCAGAAAATATCTATCGTACTCTAGATACAATCTGGAACGACAATTCAAGAGGATTTCGGAAATACTCGTAAACTAAAATTACATACATATCACGATTGCGTTTATACACCAACAGCTGAAACTTCGATAGTAATTCTCAAAAATCCGACAAAAAGTTTTACGAAAAGAAATTTATGTGGCTGCAGTAATCACCTTGTTCAGAAACTACGGAAACGAGATACATACGATTCGCAATCACTTATCGAATTATAAAAAAAAAATATCAAAATCATAAACAGAAACAGCTCAAAGAATTCGTATTCGAATTAGCTTTCTTTCATCAACCATAGAGATGTTAATTACTATTTTTACTATATTTTCAGTGGCAAAATGAAGCATGATGTTAGTTTAAAAAAAAATATATATATTATTAAGATTGTGAAATTGTAATTAGTTCCAATCGAAAAACACAGTCCGCACTCCGCATCGACACAGAAATTTTAACAAATATGAGAATAAAATTAACAAATTAAATCACATAATCTCATCAAGATTTTACAACGAACTGAAAAAGAAAAAGAAACAAAATCGAACAACTTTTCACAGTACCAATACAAAATTGCATAATTTTTAGCAATTAATAGAGTAAACTAATATACATAAAGAAAAAAGATTAATATGAAAAACAATCGCACCTTATTTCCTTGTTGAATCAAATAGAGACGGCAGGGAAAAGAGGAAAGAGAACAGAGAGTATATCGTATATGAACTGGGTTCTAGAAAGAATCGTGTTTTTCAGGGCCACCATCAAACATGTGTTGCTAAACCTAAAAGCGTGTTTTCTTCAAGCAGCTTCTACGTTTAAAAGCGCATAATATTCATATTGACTTGATACGAAATAATGAAAAGTTGTTGGCTATAAATTAAAATGAAGGACAAATTGCATTTCATACCATATACATTTTTGGAAATGGAATTGAAACAATGTTTTAAAGGGGGGTCGTCTCGAGTGTCAATTTGGAAATTTTATAGGAGGTGAAGTGCATTTTGTCTTAAAATGAAATACGAAAGTCGAAATTATCCGGTCAATAAATAATTGCATGCCGTATTATAAAAATATGGACAAATTGCATCTCACCCCCTATAAATTTCTATTTTTTACACTTTACCCCCACCAATTTTAGAAAAGTGAATGTCCCCTCTTAAAATGTTATTCTTGTTGCATATTGCCCCGATAACAAAATTCAATGGATTATTCACAAGAATTGGGTGTTTCTTTTCCACGTTGCCCCTATAAGTGTTATGTTTGTTGTACATTGCCCCTTTAAAACGTTATTTTAAGTGAACGATAACACATATTATTTTATTCTGGGACAAAGTGCAACCAAAATAATATTTCCAAGGCGGCTATCATTTTTTTGAATTCTTAGGGAGAAAAGTGCAAATATGGGAAATTTTTATAGGGGGTGAAGTGCATTTTATCCTAAAAATATTTAGTTTAGAGTTAATCATAGAAATTTTTCTTAAAATATGATTAAATTATAAAAGAAATTCAATTAAGATTTAGTATTATAGCCGTCAACACATCAGATGCACACGATAGTAAGTAGAAATAAATATCAAACGAATATTTATTAGTTATAAATCATATTTCAAGGGATAATTGTGTGATAATTAAGGGTCATTATGTAATCCATCAATGAAATCCAGCCCTTTTTAGTAACGAGAGAGTAATTAAACAAAATAGTGGTGGAGTGAGAAAGCAACAAAAAAAGATCATAAATATTTTATATATATGTCAAAGAATTGAAAAAGCAAGAAGGTGGGACAAATTAGTAATGAGTTAATTAAATTCTTAATAATGGAAAGCAACAAAATGAAAGTGGAAAAAGATCCTCACTTGTTTGATTAACTGAAGAATCAAGAACCCAACGGTCAAATTTGGCGCCTCTAGAGAAAAAGCCAGGCCTTAATCATTCCAAATATCATTAACTAAATAAATACAACTTTTGACCCAAAAAAATAATAATAATAATAATTTCGGCAAAATTGGAATTGATTCTTCGTCTTATAAAAAAAAGGGTCGAACTCGCTAAAATATACATCCGAATAAAGATTTACCATTAATCTACACACCAATATGAATGTGTGTGAATGTTGTCCGATGTACGGTTCTTATAATGTGTGTACTATGTTGTCCGATGAATGTTCTTTATTCCGGGATCATAATTTAGAATATAAGTATTTATGTTTCTTTGCACAACTCAAAAGCCACAAAAAACGCACGTTTAGTTTTGTCAACAAAATTGACTTCAAATCACATAATTATACATTGAATTAACCAATTTTCACAAAAAAAAAAAAAAAAAAAAAATTCTAGCTTACAATTTCATGAAATGTAAGAACAACAACATCAAAATAAACAGAATAGCACCACCAAAACCTTCACTACACCGAGGAATCAAACGGAGAAGACATATCGTAAAATACGTATCAATCTCAAACATTGCAACTACACAATCAAAATGCAAGCAAGAATCTTAAAAACACAATAAGGAAATTTTTATTGCTCCAACAAAATTTACAGCATGATCTAACGAAAAATCGATCCAATTTGCAAATCAAGAACTTTTTTTTTTTTTCAGTATATCACGAAATCCAATTCGAAAAAAAAAACAAGTGTTAAAATCCAACAACCACACTTGCCAAAAACGCCAATACATATCAATATCAATATCAATCATACTTCTCTCTCCAAGAATACACGAGAAATAAAACCCAAGAAACCCCCAAGGCGATATCGCCAACAACCAATCTCAGCCAAGCGTGGCCGAGAACTTCAATCTTGCTATCGAAGTAAATCCTCCAAACAGCCATCGCCACGTGGAGGAGCACGCAACCCTTGGCGAAGAAGGCGTGGAAATCGACGTCCTTCACAAACGCCACCATGAACAAGAAGAACCCGACAGCGAACAGAAGCAAGCCCGAGAACGAGTGCGATGTCCGAATCAAGAGGCGGTCGTGCTGAGTCGACCCCAAAAGCTTGGTCGCTTGCGTTTCGCCGTGGCTGAACACGAAGAACTCGTCGCTGTAGAACATCATTAGTGCACCACTAGTTAATGCCACCACAGAATGGACCGTACATATAATGAAAAACCCCGCAGACACCATTTATTTAAAAAAAAAAAAACAATTCTTTGAGTAAAGATTTGAACTTTTAGGTTAGAAATGCATAACCCATATCATAAACCCTTGAATTATTGACGAAGAACCCAGCAGACACTATTTAAATTGAAAAAAAAAAAGAACAATTCTTTGAGTAAAGATTTGAACTTTTAGGTTAGAAATGCATAACCCATATCATAAAAACTTGAATTATTTACGAAGAACCCAGATGAAGGGGAAAAAAAACTATGCTTCGATTCACATTTTAAATGGGCCAATAAAAAAAAAAAAAGAAAAAAAAAAGCAGAGGAATCCGATTATTGTACTGCTTGAAAAAAAAAACAAGATTTCTTTCACTAAACAATAGGGAAGTAAATTCAATTCTGATTCCGTACGAAGAAAGTTGGATTTGAGGATGAAAATAATTATTGGAGCAATAAGAGAGGAGATTGCGGAATATTAGGGTAGGGGAGAGAGGTCCAATTGGGCACTCTCAGACGGTTGGAGCAGACTTTC